GGTCAACTGTAAGACAGTTGACACATTAACCAAACGTTACTTGTGGTGCTATAAAAAGAAAGCCTCTTATTTAATACCAGTTCTATTACAGTGACCTCCTCTCACACGACTGATCTATTCAACAGTCACTGCTTTGAAAAATAAGCCTTGCTAATCTCAATATTCAAGGTAGAATTATAGCCAGTCTTTAGAAGAGCCGTTTACCTCAGTTACTTCATCAGTCTGTACGTATCTTTAGGACCAATGCCTCTGCATGTGAGATTTGAACTTTTCCAAACTTGAAAAGCTATTGTTACAAAAAAAAAAAAATATCAGTGTTTCAAAGAAAGAAAAAAAAAAAACCACCCTCAAAAATAAGGGTAAAAGTTGGGCCTCATTAAAAATAAGTGCCTTTAACATGTTTAGTGTCACTACTTAGTATTAAATCATTTTAATATCCAAGATAAACAGTCAAGATGCACTTTTTTTTGGTTTGACAGCTTATCAAAACAGTTGTATCCTTGTGCATTGACTAAGACCTCCTATAATAAGCAGCTGTATTACAAAAGGAGCCTTGGCAGCTGAATTCAGCTGCCAAGAAAAGCACCTTTGAGCTGAAGACATTACCCTGTATGAAGTATTTGTTGCCATTCCAAATCAGTATACTTTGTAAAATAACACCAGCAATGCTATGTGTAAAGAAATAAGCAATTATTAAATATAATCTGTGTGTGTGTGTTTATTCTTTCATATACTAGTTCTAGTAAGGTTTTTTTATGCTATCAGCCCAACACCTCTTAACAGCAGTACTTAAAACTAGTCTCCCTGGTCACTACAGAGGGTGATCAAGGGACAATAGGCAATGGGAACTGGCTTCAGGGTTCACCAACTCCTCCCCCTGCCTTTCCCTGTTTGTTCCACTGACAGCAGGAGCCAGGAAACCTGGTAAAGTTAAATTAACAACAATAATTCCTACACAGCATAAACAATGCCATGCATCCAACAATTAGCAAAGACCACTCTACATCACTGTCTCCTACTCCGATTTTAAAGACAGGCAAGCTTATCTGGCCATTTTCAGTGTTACCATGGTTACCAGTTATGGTAAAGAGACACACCAAAAATACATCTCAAATGTGCCCAAAGAGCCTGGTAAGTCAACTGTTTTAGAAAAAATCACTTACCAAATGAGTCAGGAAATGGGAAGATGCAGTAATTCTCACATAGTAAGGCAGTGTAATGAGGGAAACATTTGCTGCTGAAGAATGTTCACATCAACTGTGATGAATGAGAGTTTCTCCTCTGAGGTAGGAAGCTGGTGAGCTGCTGCCCCAAACAGCTCTTGCGTCAGCAGTGCTTGTTCAGAACCATTTCCTTACCTTATTCCAGGGAGTTTGTGATGGCCAGAAGATGTCTGCCACACAACCATGTACGTCTTCTACTTGGTTGATTTGGGCCCCGCAGGCAATGCTGACCAAGTGCTTTAAGGCAAGCTCTTGTACACCTGGAATGCACTTACCTGTGCGCTGGCAAAGCCTGCTGAGAGCAGGAGATCAGGCACAGAGGAGCTATTCAGAAAAAAAGCTGTAGTAAGACAAAGCTATCTCTACTTGCATAGCTAATTCATCAGCACTCTAGCCTTTCATGTAGTTAATTTAACCTACATTAAAACATCATAATGGCTAAACCAGCACCAAAACAGGCACATGTTGATAGAGCAGGTCTTACAGCAATCATAACAGTTATCACAGACATATTACAAGATATCTTTACAAGGGCAATTCATGTCTCCAGCATAAACAGCAGGACTATAATATTCAACTCAGCTTTACAGCAGTTAGGCCTCCCCCCCCGCCCCTTTTTCCTTTTTAATTGCTGCAATAAATTATACTCAAAAATTACTTGTGTTTCACCAAAATTTTGTCCCAATTTTCAACAGGATTAGTAAGCTTTCCTCCAAGTTATTCATTTGACCTGCATCCTATTACACTGGGCAATTTCTACTACAGCCATAAAGTTGCCACCAACTTTATCAATTTTGGAAGGAGAAATAGGTTTTTTCCTGCTATATACCTAAACAGTGGGATCTATTGCTTTCAGTTAATGTATCCTTAAAAAGCTATGTTCAAGAAACAAGACTTTAAGCTGTTTCCAGTGTAATAGGCTTGAAGTGTTCATTTTTTCCTTTTCTGGCGCACATTCCACATACTTCTGTCCTCTGCCAAGGGTTTTAAGACATCTGAGTATTCTAAAATTAATCCCTTGACTTAATGCCATTTAACTTCCACTGTCAGATCAAAATTGTTCCTTAGCTTACAGCCTAAACACACTCTACTGAACAAAGCACTTGTTATCTACAAACGTACGCAGGGAACCTGTGTTCATGATACTGCGCTGGCTAAGACCCTCCACCCCCCAAGAGCGTTGCCCACTAACCTGCACATACTACACCCCCACCCCCCATTTCAACCAACTGCTGATAACCCACAGCCTCCAACAGAGGAAAGAATTCTCAAGCTGATGGCTGGATTTACACCCAATGATTTACAGTTGACTGAAGTCTTAAAATCCCTTTGAAGCTAAACGCTGAGACAGCCCAAGTATCTTGTCAGTGCAATTGTCAAATTCTTCACTTACACCCTATATGAACTAAGACACTCACAGTACTATAAGCCTCTTCTAGAATGGGAAGACATGACAAGATCTAGACAGGCATCCCAGATCACATTGGTAGCATTATGCATTTAATAAAATTGGAAAGGAAGAAACTTGTTAGGCTTTTTATCTTCAAGGCATGTATGCTCAAATTAAGTCTTCTTTCACTTGTGGTAAATGAAATATTCATCAGTTCACTGATTGTGAGCCTTATCCTTCTCCTGCAGTTAAAGTGTTACAACTGAAGACAACCAGTAAAGAAATGAAAAGCTTTTCATCTTTAAACACCACTTCAAATATGGTCCAAATCAACAGTGATTAAAAAATGACCAGATGTTTTTACTGTAGTGGAGGAGAGGTGGAAAGAGCGGAAACAGCATCTCACAACAGTATTTTCTAAGTATCATCTCCATGATCACAAGTAGGCAACACCAAGCGTTTGGGTACACAAGCCATGCACTACTGTTTTACCTTTACAAACAATCTACCACTGTCTAAACACCACCTTCCGATTACATCTGGCAGGTATCTTTCTTCATAGAGGACATGTAGAAAGTTCTATCTCCTTGTCTGTTAACCTCAGTTAAAATGGTAAGGTCACTTCCTTGTTAACCACATGTACATTGCACTTCCCTGGTCGAGTTGGCCCATCCAGATGGAGCTAATTAACACCCTCCAGAGCAGTACTCTTTTTTTCCCTTACACTACTTTAGCTATTTCAGCTTTGAGGAGAAAAAAAAAAAAAACCAAAAACAACCCCAAGAAACCCAAAAGAGAGATTTGGTAGAAGTAGTTGGGGTTGGGGTTTTTTTGTTTTTTTTTTTTTACAAGACCATGTGCAATTAATTCCCCAAGTCACTGAAGTCACAAGCAGCACCCCAACTTCTGCAAACTGATACATCTCAACCAGTTATTTTTGAGTCTCCTATGTTAAGAGCAGCCTATGTAACTCAGCTATGGACATTAATTAAAAAGGAGAAATGGGAATTAACATTTTTACTAATTGAGGGGGAAAAAAAAAAGATTTGTCACTGGCACAAAAGCAATCATCCTAAGGTTAATTGTCTCTAGCATTTACTTCTTGAGAAAGAACACAATTAGAGCTAAAATCAGGAAAAAGTTTTTTTACTGTGGCAGGTAACTTCTATCAAATGCTGTTCCAAGCAGTCCTTGGCAGACTTCACTGACAGTCAAGTCGGCACTACCCTTAAAACACCCCCTCCCACAAATCCTGCCACTCTTCAGGATGCATGGATAGGGGAGTTGCATTTGTGCTTCAGTGGTCCCTTACTAGGCACACTAGCAAGGCTGTAAAAGTTGACCAGACCCTAAAAATCTGTTTCATGCACCAGAAGTTACTGTCTGCTGGTTTACAACAGTAGGGAGGAAACCACAGTAAAACTTAGTAATTCTAAAACCTCGAGGAGAACAAACCCACAAAATATTAAGAAAAATGTTTTGACATTAGCTTTGATAAACAAGTTTAATAATCCACTACTTTACAGGACACATTTAAAAGCTAGGCTTCAATTGAGAAACATGAGACTCAGAAGTCAATTTTCCAACACCTAAGTTTTTGAGACTTCAGTCAGGTTTGTTCAGTCTACCAAGTATTGACCAAGAAGCTCAGAGTTGTGGTTTTGCTAAAAATATGTTGTACATACCAAAGTGAATCACCGCCTTCTCACGCTGTACTCTGGAGCTGATCGCCAGCAGTCTTAGTCCCAATGCACACAACGTCCATGAGCAAAGCAAACCACTCAGCTTTATTACTGCTCCCTCATTACCCAGGTGGTAAGCTTCAGAAAGCACTCACTCTTACAACGTTGCCCCACACTTCCAATACGATCTCCGTATTGCACAGAATTACCACTCTGCAGTAATTACATTACTGCACAGAATTACCACTCTCCCTACTACAGACACGAAGAGTGGGCACATATACACCACAAATGAAAAATAAACTTGTTCCCTATTCCCGGGAATAATTCGGGAAATTTAAACCAAGTAAGAAAAAAAATAGAATTCTATTTATTCAATTTGCTCCTTGGCTTCAGAGAAGTTAAAATAGGTGTCAAAATAGACACAGCATTTTTTCTTCCACGAATAAGAGAGTAAGTCTGCTATGGCCATACCGTTCAGAACCGCATTTCATGCCCACTCCATCATACTAACCCACGTATCAGCCCAAACCTGAACCCCCAAAGAAGGAAGAGAAATCCATGTTTTTGAGAAAGTGACAGTTAATAAAGCCCACCAACTTGCAAGTTTCGTAATGGAAGAGCAAGTATCTCCACTTCAATCCTGTCCGTGGTTTGAAGAGATAGTGCTCTCTGCTTTGACAAAGAGCAGCTGTCAGGAGGCTGAGTTTAGTGCTGTCAGGTGCAGGACCTACCTGCCAGGTGAGGTGATGTGCCAGGCCGGTCACTGGAAGGCAGACTATCTGTAACTGCTTGCACCAAAAACAATTTAAAAAGTTATCTAGCTTGAGTCCCCAGAATAATTCGCTTTAGAAAAAAAAAAAAGACTAAGAAAAAGATTCAAAGAGGAGGCATAGGACCAGGAGAAGAAGCAATTACTTAGCAATCATCAGCGGGTGGGGAAGCCTCCTCTATGGGTACCTCCACGTCCCCCTCGGAAGCCACCCCTCTCACCCCGAAAGTTAGTTCTGTTTCTCTCTCTGCCCCTTTCTCCTCGGCCTGCTGAAGTCCCTCCTCTTCCTCCTCCCCTCGGAGCACCACCTCCCCGGTCAGACTTGGACTTAGGTGGTGGTGACTTGGGCCGAAGTCTCTCAATCTCTTCGGTACAGCCGGTCAGGTGGGAATTTGGAGCTGTGAAGTACGAAGAATACGTTTCTGCATTGAAATTGCTGTTTGTGAGGGTGGGTCCTACAGTCAGCCAACCTAGGGAACGAAACCAGAGTCACAAAAGCAAGAACAAACTTCACGCTTCAAGGCCATAATTGTCTTTTTCCTAGTAAATGAATGCTCAAGTGATAGGGACAGACACTTAACTGCACGTCACCTGTATTGAACAGAATTAAAAGGTCACCTCTGGGAAAGCCAGAGTTGTGAAAAGTTTGATTTTAGTTTGATATTTCTCGGGACTTCCTCCCCGCCTTCCCCTTTTAATTACATATGCTATGGGAACATTCATGCTCTGGTTTCACAAGACCCCTTCCCTCTCCTTCGTACTTGGTCTTACACCACAACAACGTTTTACAGCCCCTCTAGGACCTGACTAAACCAGATCGGTAAATTAATCTAATTTAAAAATAACATCCTCCTCCTTCTCCCCTTTTTAAAAAGCATTTAAACTTGAATTAGGTAATTTTGTCTCCAGAAACCAGTTGTGACTGTACAGCCAAGAGCACAGCATGTTGGAAGCACACATCTGAAAACACAAGAAAATAACCATTCTGCTGAATATGAAAATACGATATGAAAATAGAGCTTAGAGTTAAATTAACCTGTTTATGCATAAACATTCACTGGGCACTTCAGCTTCACCAAATGAATCAAGGCAGGCAGACATTTAAACCAAGCATGTTTCTATTTCTGTTATGAGCTAAAGTAGCATTCAGACCTAAAATGGGGCTTAGACCACTTAAAAATGTCAGTGGGAATTTAATTTTCAGTCGTATCATATATTAATGAAGAAAAATGTAGGTCAGTAATCTCAAGAACATGCTTAATTATGAATAAAACACCTGAAGATCAGTTCTTTAACACTGTTCTCTTTACCCTGGGAATTTACGTATCATTTACCTGAACAAAGTCTTTCTATAAAAGAAAACAGCCCCCTTACACACACACACCCCCCACACACACACACCCCCCAGTAACCAGACTTAAGACTGACTTCATCATTAAAATTCAAGCCAAAGGCCAGTCAAAGAATAGGAATAGCCAAACGCCTTGAAATTTATTTAGGTAACTTACTGCTTGCAGTTTGTATACTGATACACATCCTATTCCAACTGCAGTAAGAGAATAAGCAACATTTTTTTTATATTGTAAATATTAGCATTCACATGTAGCAAATCAGGCCCTGGATGGACTTGTATCCATTTCTCTTCTGGCATCCAAACTATTAACCTCTATTTAGGGGAAAACAGGGTTACATAAAACTGCAAAAGAAATGTCAGGCAAGTACAGCACTTGCCTCACCACCCCCCCCCAACTAACTTTGAAAAGGGGGTGCTGTTACCACAAACTGTTCAGAGACCAACTCTCACAGTATCCATCAGTAGGTGAAGTATGACTACACCAGCCATAACATGAAGTATAAAGTCTGTCAATTCAAGCATTCGTTGGTAGTTGAAAAAAATAGGACTGTTGAATTGTATTTCACATTAGGCTTTAGGACACAAACGTCACTGACAACAGATACAAAAGTCTAAAAAGGTGTCAAAATAGACTTTATTCTTCTAGTCTGTATTCTCCTGGGTCTTCAGATATTGGCAACAGGACCCAGCTCACAGGAATTTAAAAATCAGTTTAGAGAAAGAAATCACGCTTCAGAGAAGTGTAAACACATGGCACTTGAAAAAAAATCTCAACTGAACTTTGTTATACTCACTGATGAATTGAATACATGAACAGGCAAAAAATATTGGTTAACAGAAAACTTTCTTCTGAAAAAATTGATAGAATTGATAGTTGTCATAGACTTTCCCAACAATGTTGGTTTGTGACTGACAGATATTCACATAAACCAAAAATGTGTCTCCTTGAGATCTACTGTCTGACCTATGATGTATGTCTGGAAACCTCTTCAGGACACTGAAATGAATTTTACAAGCAGCAAATTCTGCTACTCTGTCTTGCACATGATAGACACATTTCAATTTTTAGACCTAGTGTGCAGTTTACACCACTGTTAAATCAAAAAATAAAAAGTTAATAGAAAGGAAATATTCAGAATATGAACTTAATTAAATAGAATTTGTCCATTTCAGTATTCCAGTAGAATATTGAACAATTTCAGCATTTATCTTCAATTAGATAACACGTAGAAAACAAAAGCATAAAGATCCTACTGTTTGAGCAATTTACTTCTAAAAATGAATATAAAACAAAACTTAACTGTAAGCAGTGTTAAACCACATTTGTGACTTGGTCTTGCTCCCAAACATAATAATAATAGAAATTATAACCTAACTGTAATTACCCTGTAAGTAGGGTTCTATATGATGCTCCTGCAACACTGGCTGAGGGATTCACCTCAAGATAGACATTATTGCTAAGAAAATACACATGAGATCTTTAGTTCTAGCACAATTTTCTGCTATTTGATCACGAGGGACAGAACATTAACTAGAGCAGAAGTCATTTTGCTGTGTCCCAGTGTTGGGAGAACCATCAAGGGATGCCACAATCCCTCTGCTGCTGAGCATTAGGTTGGTTAGCTATGTGAATGGGAGGGCAGGAAATCTGGGAAATTTCTCCATCCAGTAGATTTTCTCATTCCTGACTAGATTTCCACTATGGAGAAGTCACCAAGAAAGCTCATCTGGCTTGCTGTGGTATCATAGTCCCACAGCGGGGTAAAGGGGTTATTCGCAGAAATACGTAGTTATTCAGCTGGTGCAAGTCTTGGCATCATGCATTAGGATTAACCATTACTGTCTCAGCTTCCATCAGAACCCATCAAGTGGCCTCAGATGACTTAAAAGTAAATGAAAATTTAACTATTTGACAAAAATAAACGTAACCGTTACCTGGTCGAATTGTACTGTCCCTTCCAAAAAGATGAAGACGTCGTCGTCCAAGGCAGAAATGCTCGATGATGTGAAAAATCTCTACAGGTTTTTCTATGTTTCCAATTTCAGGCTCTTCTGTGATGATTAGGTCAATATCAACGTTAGCATGGATGAAGTCACCATCTGTACTGCGACGCACAGTTCCTTTAATGCCCATGAGGCAGTGCTCCTACACACACACAACACAGAAGAGTACCTGTCACATACTGAACATACCGCTACAGCACAGACCTCCGTGGTTTGAGCACAAAGGAGAGAAGGAAATTCTAGGCAGAGTAGATCCTACTCTCATACAGAGAAGTCTGAAGCATGAACTAGAAGCCCAGAATGAGCTGGAGCTACCAAAAGAGCTTTTTGAAAACAACACAGAGTACTTTAAGCTATTCAGCTTGATAAACTACATTATGAAGTGGTAAAACTCAAATAGAGGCCAAGAAAAGATATTTGGACTTCTTCAATTACAGCAAAGTTAAAGCTCTAAGTTGGAAAGGCTGAGAAATCACCACAAATAAAGGGAGTACAAGGTGATGGCAAGAGTAAGGGAATAGTTATTAATTATGGTTAATACTTGTATCAGCATCCTGATCCTAACTTTATTCATATGAATTATTTTGAAATTTCTCAGTCATGTAACAGCCAGTCAGTGAAAACAAGATGTACTTTTTCATATTATACCCATTACAAAAGCAGCCTTCACTCTCAGATTCCTTTCTAGAAGATATCACTGCATCAAAAAAAGTAAAACCACTATCGAACTGTCAAGGTACTCTCAGTCAACCCCATCAGCATTAAAAATGTTCTTTAACTGTAATATGCACTGCTTTCCTTTCCTCTAGAACACTGTATATCAATTTAAGTGACTGGTACATAGAATCTATGAATGAGGAATCACCATAATTGGTGCAGGATGAAAAGAGGGTTCTACATAATCATTTCAGAGCTCTGTTTCTGACAGTATTAAGCTCAGATGAGCAATTTCCCCAGTATCATACAACATTGATTCACTAAGCGCCACCAGATGGCTCCAAGAAAAGTTGCAGACAAGAGTATGTAATCATTTTCAGATTTTTGGCAAGGATTTTAAGAGTTAGTGAATAAATATCAAAGGCAGAATAGGTGACCTATCAAATCTACGCAGTTGGTCAACTGCACCCAAGCTACAGGGTTTTCAGACCTTGAATTTAACTAAATAAAAACACAGAATACTACTAAGCAAATTACCCATCAAGCAAAGTCTCGTAAATCTAGTCTTTAGAAGAACTATCCAAAATATTTTATCTTCGTAACACATGGAACATGATTCATTAGTACCTCAGATTCTATAGCAGGTTGCACAGCATAAAGCATCCACCTAGAGAGATGCCTGAACTAAACTGAATAGGATAGCATTTGCTGTTGCAATCATTGGTAAATACATCTTGCACAACAGACTATTTATTTAGCCAGAATAAGCTAGCTCAATTTTCAATGTTTATTATAAATAGTGACCTCAGCCCAACCCTTGCTCGATAAACAGAGAAATTCTCTAATACCAGAAACTATTCTCCTCCGTTAAACAAAGACATAAAGTCCCCCCCACATCTTCCTGTGTTAGTTTTAACCTCTCCCTCATGAGCAAGCTGCACATATTTGTAATACTATATGCAATAAACACATAATATTTATACCTATAAATATTTGTAACTAATACAACACACTTTCAAACAAACTTCAGATTAATGTAAATGCAACTCAGAGAAAGATTACAGATATCTTAAAGGGAAGTTTATACTTCTAAAAAACAGCAAATCAAAATAGCAAATCTGAGACAGTTGAGGATGCTTAATACTAACAAATGATTAATGAACATGGAATGAGTCCTGAGGTTAATGACATTAAATTATTAAATTGTCAGCCAACCCTCTAATCAATAAAACTGCCAGTCACCCCCACATATACCCCAAAAATTCTTTATTAATCCTATCTACATTTGTCTAAGTTTTTAAATAACATACATTTGAGTCTCTTAAATCAGAATACTTTTTTTTCTCTACACCTTCTTAGATACACATCCTCCATAACACATCCCTAAGAAATTGTTTAATTTAAACCAAGCTGACCAATTCTATCACTTGTGCATTACAGTCATCCTCAGGAAGCCAGGAGATGCTGACTGAGCTATAGTCCCTAACAGTCCTCTATCTGGTTCAAGCCCTGGGCACATATCTGCACATGAGTATTTAGAAACATTAGCCAGTCTTCCAGAGTTACAAATAGATGTAGTCATAAAAAATAACGAACACTTAAAAGATTTCTTTTGACATTAAATTTAGTCAAATTCTACTGCTAAGTTTAGTTCCATTCAAAAGGTGTTCCTTTTCCAGATTACAGGAGAAAACTTGCTGGCAAGGAGCTTGTGTTTTACACAGAAGTTCACCTATACCCGAAACAATCCAGAAGTCAAAAACATTGCAACATATGGTAACATTTTCTATTCCATTTCTATCTTCCCTCTCAGGATTTCATTCTTGTTCCATCAATCTATGAACCCTCCTCAGCTACCTGCATTTCAACAAGGCTCCAATGAGTATCACATTTAGAGGACTAAAACAGAAATTTACCAAGCAGTGTTAAATGTAGATGAAGCTTCTATACCTCTCACTGCCTAAAGTCAAGGAGGGGACAGAAGTTCATCGCTCATTCTATAAACGTGTTTATTTCCATATAATGTACTTTGCAGAACAGAACTCTGAAGTCCTCATGTTTGCTTTCCTGAAAGCATGTCACCAACTGCCATGGAGCACCACGTATTTCATTAGCGTGAAGAGACAGGAGGGGAACAGAGGAGAAATTGAGCCAAACCTTTACCTTGGTTCTTTGGAAAACAGCCTTAGGGTCTAGAGTCTTGGTCTTTCCAGGATTGTTCTTATTTGTTTTAATCCAACAAATATCCTCACATCTTCTGTAACCCCACTTGCGTAGACACTAAATATTATAGACAGATAAAACAGTTCACACTACACCAACAACTTAAGTAACTTAAACTAAACACTCATAGAGGTATTTGACTTTTCTTAAAGCATAGCTGAAAGATAAATTTGTCACAAATGAATGAAACAGTTTACTGGCATGACTGTACTATGTTTTGTCCCCCCCCAAAATGCTTATGTGCACATTGACTTGTCTAGGTATCACACACACACCCCTTTTTTTTTTTTTTTTGCTTTTAAATATCTAACCACCACACAAATTCCCTGTGAAACTCTGCGCTTGTTTTTACCTAGTGACAAATTTAATCAGAACCTGTCTGAACATAGTGATCAGCTGCTTCGGCCCTGTCTCCACTAATACCCGCACTCTGATAGTTTTTCACAGCAATGTAAAATTCTAAAAAATGAGAAGAAAAATAGCCAAAGCCATTGCTACTATTTTGTGGTTTTTCCTGTATCTGTTAAAAACCCCCAAAAAACGCACCAAATAAACACCATCACCAAAAAAACCCAAAACAACAAATTTAAATGACTTTTTAATCCTTAACTCCTGTTGCCTTGGAAAGGGCGGAAATTGGGCACTAGAGACTCAAGCTCATTTGGCTATTGCTGTGTTCAAGAACTGTCCGGCCGCTGTGAATATGTCTATGACCAAAATCAATCTATCTGAAAGAGCTACTTTAACCAATCTCAGAATGAAAAGCAGATAAAGCAAACAGATTAGTAACCACATGTTACCCTTTAACAGATGCCATATTGTTTTAACAGAAGGCACCGCTCCAAATAAATTCTTATTCCACCATGCCCAATGCAAGCAGTGCTACCCTGGCATACAGGAACATTACTCCAAAACTCCAAGATCTTACAGGGAAGTAAAACTTTGTAGAGCTCACTAAGAGTAAACCCACTTAAACTCCAGATCTTTTCTGAAAATAAGTGGTGCTACACACACAATTTTAATCTCACTTATGAAACAGTAGCACCTTTCTACTAGCATGAATGTTTCTGGCAGAAAACTATTAAGGCTTCTGTTACAAAAAAAAAAATGTTGTAAATGCACTCAACATGGTAACCTGCTCCTATGGCAAGGTGCATACACCAAAACCAAGACAGTAGTACAGCTCTCTAGACCCTATAGAATTATGCTTCCTCGCATAATCACAGCAACTCAGATGGAAAATAACAGTATCTAAACAGTTAATACCAGATCCACTTAAATTTATTTAATCCACTTAAAATTATATATCCTCTACCACAGTAACAAAACATCTCTCAGCAATTACAGTTGAGAATTCTATACGGAAAAAGTCAACGACAAAAATAACTCTTAAGCCTGTCCCTGATAAATTGAATTAAAACATCATCTTACCACTCGGCCAAGATCCAGACCCTCTCCTGAACCGCACCATAGAAACACAAATGACCTTGGGGCTGCAATTTCTTCAATTTCCAATTTCATGATCTAATAATAATAGTAGTACAAGTGTTTCTGAATTAAATATAAATCACCAATTGTATCAGGAAGAATACTTAGTAAGTGGTTAAAGCACTATCACAGAAACCATTAGAAAGCACTTTCATTAAAGATGTTAGTCCATATACCATTCACAGCCATCCTCTTAAAGTTGTTTTCCAGTAAGTATGTTGTAAAAGTTACCTTATCAGTACACAAGTGCATGTTTTCAACACAGCTGATGACCAGCTTAATTATTCCTTTTAACAGAAATTCTATCTGTATAGAAAATTCTAGACTTAAAGACTAGTACAACCCACATGATTTTATTTTTTTCCCCTAAACCTCTGCTTCATTTTAACATTCCACTGGTAGCAAAAAGATTTAATAACAGAGCAATAGTGCTTATGTGAAGCTTGTGAAGACACATTATTTAAAAAGACCAGCTTAATTCCTATTACTATATAGGAAGACATTCTCTCCATTTTCACTTTCAAGAAAAAAGCAGCAAGAATTTATCAGGACAGTGGTTCAACAATGACAAATGACTAACATTCAGGATGAAATAACTTCAGACGCAAAGCATCTGTTACTCATTATAAGTTGAAAAGATTCATCTGTAACTTGCTAACACATCAAATCAAGCATCATTCAGTGCCATTGTGAAGAAAAATAATGCAGTAGAAGCCATCCTAAGAGGATGTAACTCCCAACTAAGAGGATGACTCCTGCCTTCAACACTTCTAGCTTTTCCTGTTACAACAGAACGTTTTTTTCTCTGGGAAACATTGCCAGGCACCATTTTTGCCTGATGTAACAGAATGGCTAACACAGAACCTACCTATTCCATAACGTGTAGTTATCTAGTCTCCTATCACAGGCATGAATGCATTTGTTTTCAAATCCGTTCCTTAAAGGTGGATTGAATTTTATTTTGTTCTCATGATCCTTTAGTCTGACTCATTTCTGAAGTTATGCATGTGCAGGTTTCAGCCGAAGGACAAACTAATTAAAGTAACACCATCATCCCCCTCCTCCAAACTGCACAGAACACAGATAAGAAAATCTCACCAACAACTGCTTCAATCTACTGATTCACTCATATTATGACAAATTTGCTGCTAATGAAGACGTGGTCCTGCGTACCTTTTAAACAGGGCCTCTAAATAATAGGTAGTCATTAGTTGCATATTCCCACCTATATGCCTCAACCTAAGAATTCCTGACATGGTTATGCAAACATGTATTTAATCAGCTATTCCTCTCTACTACAGATTGTCTGTTTTGTTGTGAGGGTGGGGGTTGTTTGGGTGCTTTTTTTGGATTGGGTTTTTGTTTGGGTTTTTTTGTTGTGGGTTTTGTTTTTTTTTTTCTTCCAATGAGTGAAGTGTAGATATATAGAGTAGAGGCAATTTATCACTATTTGACATGAGGTTTACAAGTTTTTTTTATTCAATGCCCAAGTGAAGAAATTCTCTAGTTCAATCTTGAAGGACAGGGCAACTTGGCAGCAGGCTTTGTGTCATCAAATTGTTATGCTTGATGACACCCAGCACTCCATAGCCTCCAGCCCTCACCATGCTTTTCCAGAACTGACTTTATTGAAAGAGGAAAGATACAGATTGGAGTTACTTATCAATGCATCTTGAGTGTTTCCTCCTTCACAAGCATCTATATGAATTACTACAGAAAGAACTTCAACATCTTTTCTCTAACTCAATTCTCTCAACATTTTCTACAGCACAACAGAGCAAGAGCACCAACAGTGATCTCAAAGATCACATCTTGCACATTAAGATTTCTTCTTGTTCCCAAAAAGGGGTCAGAAATCAACATGGCTTAAAAAAAATACCTTTGATGTGACTAAGCAGCAAGGGTATACATAAATACAAGAGGAAAAATCCACAAGTAAGGTTTATCTATTTTTGTTAGACTTCTCAGGATTACAACTAGTTTGACTGTTAAAATTTCCTATCCAACCAATACTTCGGAGAAAGGAAGTATGTCAGTGAAGCACACTCATCTACTCTTTTGACTAGATTATCAGTGTATCCAGCATATTATAAAGCATACCTTAAAAATCTGAGAATTTCAAGAAACAAGGGAATACTTACAGTGGATATTCTGAATTTCAAGAACAAAAACCAATCAGAAGCAAAAATTCATGGAATTTGTGGGGAGAAAACCCACTACTACTAGATTTAAGTTTTCAACCAGGCTCAGAAAGAACAAAAAGGTGTATTTGATTCATTAAACTCCTCGGAAAAGTCTTTTAACACAAATAGCGTAGGCATGCATGCAATATAAAGCTTAGTTCCCCTTTTTCCTTAAAACACATCTCAAACATTTTGATACAAAATTAAATCCTCAAATTATTTGCTTAAATACATGTATGAAATCATTTTCACACCAAGAAAAATACTTACATCATCCCAGGTCCAGCATTTTTCATTGGCAGTAATGCCAGTCTCTCGGTAGTATTCTTCCAGAGGTGGTTCCAGGAGAATCACATCAAATTTGGACTTCAGTTCCCTAATATCAAAAGCTTCCAAGTCCGCTTGTAAGTACCTGTTTAAACACAAGACGACAAATTGCTTGCACAAGTTATAATAGTGGTTTGAAAATTATACTCCACACAGCACTTGTGTGGCCAGTTAAGAGCAAGGTCTCCTGTGTAGTTCATATAGCTCAAATGCACTAAATCCAGAGGAGGTGCATAACATATTCTCACTTAACCTAGGTGGGATGCGGTGCATTTTTTTTTTTTTTTTTTAAAAGTAGTCTTTCTCTCAATAAACAGTTTTTAGGGTCCTAATTTAGCAAGCAGAAAAAGATGCCCACACAGACTGTACAACAATATCTGGTAGAGAATCACTGAACTTTTTGTACATTCATGAGCTATGTAGGAGAAAACATCAACATTTAAGAAGCAAACACTCACTGCCTGGCTAACAGACTTCCATTTTGCTTCACTTTGGGAAAGCGGCATATTTTTAGAACTGCCATTTATTACACGTTATGTTCAGAAGATTCTGAATGTGGTTACTTTTCAAGTAGTAATGTATTTCTCTATATGAAATGTATTTCTCCCTATAACAAAAGCATAATTCCCCGCACACACTGATTGTATTAAATACACACTCAAACACACTCTTACGACTGGCCTCCACACCTGCCCACCACTCCCTGCTGTATCACTATCAAAAAAATTACACTGCCCTCCCCTCAATACCTTTAACCTTAAAAAAACCTGATTAGCAGACCACCACCTCCCCTTCCTAAGAAAATGTCTGGAAGAGATTGTTATTCTGTAAGCATATTTGGTGTTATCAGAAGGCAGCATCTGACTACTATTTTTTCCCCCCTTCTGTGCTTTAAGGCTAAGAATGCCAAAACACATCTAACTTCAAAATAGCAAGTTGAGTTTTGCAGTTTGTAACTCAGTTGTGCAGACAACTATTTCAGAGTTTTTCACGTGACTATCATGAAATAATGCTATTTTACTTGGTACAGATTAGGACTATGATATATTAGAAGCATTAGGTTCACATCCAGATAGGTTCAAATTCCTGGGAGTAACATGCTGCATGCTTATAATGTGCCTAACAGGCAGCAAAAACTCAGAGGTTATTCAGAGTTAATAGGACAAATCACTTCCAGCCAGCCTAAACTTTTCGTCTTAAACTATGAAGTGACATCTGATTAATGGATACTAAGATAATAGCTGCCTCAGAAGAGAGCTGTTACAAGAACAACTAAGGTTATATTAAGAGGCCAATTTTTTAAAGCTTTTCTCGTTATTGTAAACTGCATGATATCATGAGATTCATGATCATATGATATCCTTTTAGTTCCCAAATTAAAGCCTGCAGCCCAATCAGTTGACAGTTCTGTCTTAAAACCCAAAGCTTTAGATACTATAAATAATCACACACTGGAAAGAAAATCTAGTTTATATACTATATTAAATATCTAGCTTAAACTAGCAGAACCAAACTGGTTTTATTCTTCTGAAGTTTCAATTGATTAATTTGTATATACAAACAAAATTAGAAAATGTAAATTCTGAACAGGTGCTAAAGATAAAGATTAGCAAAGCAGACAGCTAACTTCAAACAGGTCTGGAGAAGAAAGGCATTTTCCACAAGAACACTTACATGGGAGGAGTGTTAGATTTAGATATCAGCTCATCCTTCAATCTGATGAGCTCTCTAAGTTTTGGATATTCTTCAAACCTATCTGCTAAGCCTAAGAAGAAGAAAACATGAAGTTAACAACTACTTAGAGAGTAAATCTGCATCAATTAAGCATTGTCCAGTATTCCGATAGGTCCAAATGTTAATACTTAGCCTCATTTTAATTTTTGTTAGAACAAACCAAACCCTTCAAAGCAGCTTTTTGTTGGGTACTTCACAAAAGCCTCCTCTCTTCACCAAGTTAATTACGGCTGTTACTGAATGCAGTGTCTATGCTCTGATCTTCTCTAGAGCACTACAGTCATCAGGAGTTCACAATTCCTTTTATCAGAAGGAAACAATCTTCCATTTAAACTAGAAGTGCCAGAATGGTGACAGAAAGTTATTTTGTCATCCCTCCCATCTGTAAGTTTGTATTAAGATCTAATTAACACATTTACAGAATACTCTTATTTAACCTTTGGATACTATTTCTAAGGTGGCAACTGGGTTGTAGCTGGTTCCCTTAGGGAACCCTTATATTGAGATTTGGTATTCTGGTGTCAGTCATGAAGATTTGAATATATGTGTATTTACTTACTGGGTTCTTAGCTTTGTGATGTTAATTTTCAAACCTTTCATACGTACAGAATGCAGAAGAGAGAACCCTAATTAGGTTCTCTGCAGCAAGCTAAAAAAAACCAAACCACAAACAAAAAACACCACACCAAAAAACACCAGCAAACTTTTCAGGATATTACATTCCCCTTTCAAAAAAGTAAGTAGAAACAGTATGTTTTTGTTATTGCTAGCAGTAGTCTCGGCACAAACCAAAAAGGTATCCTTCCTGTCTTCCAAACAGTATCAGTTCACCTTTAGTAGGAGTTATTTAAAAAGTTTCATGTTCATTTAAATTTACAACTTTAAATGGTCCTAATCCATGGGGAGCGGGGGGACCACCCAACCTCAAAAACCCCACAACTCTTCATCCCTCTCCTTATTTTAATTTAAACTTCTGAACTCCCAACCCTAGCATCGCCCTGATAAAAGCAAAGTTCTTGGTATCTAACCTTATTACACGTGCATAAACCACTCAAAAGTTATTTCCATTCTTTTCCTTAAATACATAACATCTTAGGAACACCACTATGATGTTCTTATTTCCACTGCATGACAAATATTCCTAACTAGCAGAAATGGAAGTCCGTTATCAGCAGCTAAATAACAGAGGTAAAAAAATCTGCAATCAAGCTGACTTAAGTTGTAAGCCAAAACAAATCCCACAGGTCTCTCCCAACAGCAACATCAAAAAAGAAATAACTGTTCTGGAACCACTACGTTGCTACAGCTTTTTGTAGGGTCATGTTCAACTACAAAATAAAACCTAAGCAGAGTTTTGATCATCAAGTAGAAAACGTATGCTAACCAACATGCAACTTGACATACATCTCTCTAATAAAGGGTCTAGACTAACCGCTGCTGACATGTTCACTTCCGTATTAATACTCGTATAACAACATGCCCTATCTCTGCTGCATAAAGAATTGGGAAGAGAAGTCATAGTAAATAAGATGGACTGCTATTTCTTCATACTCATCTTATTTCAAAGAACAATGTATAACTATTTCAAGTACATAACTGTGAAGCCCAGGTGAAGTGAAGACATAATTGACTCAAAACAGCCTGTTTTTCATATTAAACGTCCAGATGTGTTTCACAGAGGCATTCACAAAACAGAGAAGAAACAAACAAACTGCCTCAATAGGCAAACAAAATCTCTTTAGGCTGGCATCACCAACACAACACACTTGCCCTGACAATCTTAAACTTGATAAAATACAGAGAATTGTTACAGAAAACCCAAATAACTACCAGGCACCCATTCTGGGCAACAGAACCAAACTGTACCTTAATTTTAGAAAGATTAAATTCAGGCCCAATAAAGTAAGATTTCAATAACAAGTTCAGTGATGGCTGGATGAACGTAAACTTAAATAACATCATCTAAACGCCATAAAACACTGGGCCTTCTAATGAGTTGTCAGCAGTTACATAATTTAGCTGGTAAATATTATCCATATTGCTCACTGACTTAAATACAAGTATTTTCCATACTTTACATGCTACATGCATTCTTGGAAGCAATATGGTTCAGGAAACAGCTGAACTATAAGCTAGTTATTCAAACTTTCTAAGGTTTCAAGTCTGCGTACTAGACTCATCTATTTTCTGGAACCAAAAGACCTTAGTTCTGAAAAAATCTTCCTGGTTAAATACTTTCAAATAAAGCCAAGATTAAGAGCAGCCTTGGTAATAATTATTAAAAATAAAATCATTCATATAAATTTATATATTAATATGTATGCACACAGAGTGACAAAACTATCAAGTACATACGTATCCACATTTCCCAGTTAACTGTAAGGAATTAAAAAGGGGGGAAAAAAAAGAAGTGCTATCAAATAAAATGGTATGACATACCAACATCTCTGATGAAGTTCTGGGGTCTGTGTCCCGTATCCACAAAGTGCTGACAGTAATCATTGTGTGGATTTAAGCTCTGAGTACCCTGGAAAACAAAAGGGAGTTCAGCAAGAGCAACAGGGAGGTTACTGGACATACACACACACTCTCTACATATGTCAGTCTGATAAATGACAAAGTAACAGATTTTTATTTTTTTCTTTTCAGTGTGCCTTTACAAGCCACGCTAGTCAAGGCTGCCGTGGTTTTAGTTCTAAATCAGGCCCGCCATTGCTACAGCTCATTATAAGTTGACCCAGATCTTTAGTCAGATCAATGTAAACACTAGTTACAGTTCCATCTTTCACAGGAAACTTCTGTACTTGTAAATTCCAGTCAATTACTTCAACCTTTAAAGTTTTATTTCAAATACCATCAATTGCAGAAATAGTTTAACACAACTTACCAGCTTTGACGAAATGTCTAATTGCAAAAGCAGCTCACCTTAAGAAAGGTACTGGAATCTTTGTAAATCTCTTCTTCATAAGGCAGATTCTCTTCATCTTGCTGCAGCTCTACTTCATCCTTGGAAATAAAGCAGATATTACAAGCGTGCAAGATCGTGCTGTTTCTCTCCTCATTATGATTCTGCTTCTTAAGGAAAGAAGTGGGCTGTCTACAAATAGAAGTCTCCTAAAACAGCAGATCATGAACGGTTCCAACTCCAGTTTTGGAGGGGGAAAGAAAATTACCTATTCCCAAAAAGGTCTGCCTCTCTCATTAATAAGGACAACAGTAGTGGGAGAGACCTCTGAAAAAAGAATAAAATAAGAAACCCTTCATTTCAAGACCCTGACAGTGCAGGTAATGCTTTACAAGGTGCAGAACTTTTGAAATTCATTCTTTAGACTAAAGCAAGTTATATATTTTGCTGAAGTTGTTCTGTAGTAGAACCTTTGAACATTTATATCCACTCAATCATCTTGTACATTCCAATCTCAGCAGCTGAAACCATCTTCTCTATATAAATCTGTTAAAGTCCACACTTTGGAGAAACAGCACATGGTACAAATGAGTATTTCATTTGGACTATCCTTAAAAGTAACTTTAAAATTCCAACTCTATAGTCTCAAAATTTACAGAAAACAGGAATTGTATTACAATTTTTTTCCCCACAGTCAGTGTGTCACCAACTGTTCGTTCATCAGATTTCTGGAATTCAGAGATCTGTCACACTGAAATACTCTGAACATCCAACACAGAACTCTGAGAGAACAGAAACAAAAAAGAGACTCACTTCTTCATGTCACTGTTTTCCCACTGATCCTGAAACAATTCAGTATATATATTATATATAAATAAAACTGAAGAACCGCTAAATAATATCATCTACTATATTTTAGTAGGATGCATATGCTCTTCCATACATTATTGATTACAACAGAAATCTTAATCACTTAATATAGCGTTTCATGTGAGGAGAAAAGCAATCTCAAGGCTGAAATATTAAAAAAGATATTTTAACACACTGAAATAAAAGGAAAGATGGAGAACCAGTTTTCTCATAGAAGAACTCAACTTCTCCCCCTCACCACACATCTTGAGTCAAAAAATGCAGAGACAAGGCTATTACTGCTGCATTTACCCTATGCTACATAAGCTGTCTAAATGCAGAAAATTAAGTGTTCTATTTCGATTCCTCTAGCTGTTGAAGTCTTAAAACAAGCTCTGTGCTCTTTCCAAACTGGAGCTTTGAACCAACATCTGAAATGCCTGCTGTGATTCATAGGTCACTGATTCCCTGTCCCCATTATTCAGGTGAAGAACTTAGATAGACATAGTCTTTTTTATTTGCTTAACCAGGCCAAAAAGAGAAAGACTACTATCAGAAACAGCAACTGTGTTTACAAGGAAAAAGAACAAATGGCAGACAAGCAGCAGCAAGTGTTATTCAGGGAAAAAAAAAAAAAAAAGCTGAAAGCTTGAGTTTTACTAAAAACTGCTTATGCCATCATAAGCTTACATCCATTTCCCCTCTTTCATCTTCCTCTAAATTTTAGCCTGCTGATGCTAAGTACTTGTTAGATACCTACTTCTGAGTCATCCCAGTTCTCTTCATGCCTTCTTAAGTTATTTAGAAAAAAAGTCTTGTGACCACAACAAAAAGTCCACACCACCAATTTTCAACAGGAAAAGGACAATTAAAATAGAGACAGAATGAAAAACTAGGTTCTAGTACAGAACTGTTAGAGTTCCACAAAAACAAGAGTATTGTAGAAGTTCTTCAAAATCACAGTTCAACCTTCTGACCTTAAAATATCCATAATTCATTTTTACCAATAATGCACCTATTCCCATATCTCCCACCTCTATGGTTTGCAATGCAGAGTCAGGCTCCAAACAGAAGTCAAGCCAGCTGGAAGCTTAACAAGCAGCCTTGCTGCCCTTTATTTTCATATTAGCCTGATGTTTATTATGAACCATCACTATAAATTTACACTTACTTACAAAAAAACCCCACAACGCAAACAAAATCCCAAAACCAAAAAATAAAAAAACATCGCTTTTTTGCATCAGATGTTCCTAAATGGCTGAGAAGATTAACATACTTCATCTTTAATTTCAAAAACTGCTCTCACACTTCCCCCATGTAATGAAAACTTCAATGTCACTGTTCGGCCTCCTCTCAAAACGTCAGTGTAAGGCATTCAGGTGTCATCAGCTCACTTCACTTTCCATTTGGAACACTAGAAACTGTCAGAAATCCTCTAAAACACCCAACTACATTTGTTTAAAGGTTCCACGCCCACATCCACACACTCTAGCCCTGCAGACCTTGCGCCATTACACTGCACGGCAGTAACAACAATGTATCTTCACAGTAACCCATCTCTACCAGCAATTACAGCTAGATGCTCAGGCTCCAGCTAGAGCAGTTGAGGTTTGAAGACACATTCATTTCCACTAAATCTGAAGTCAGGGCACAAACATTTTAAATCACTTCAGAAGGATTAACAAATACCATCACATAGAACCCAACACTGCAAGTCAAGGTTTTAGAGACATACGAGTCACTTTACATCAGAAGCACTTACCTCTAATTTTCTTAACAAAGCTGTCAAACTTGCAATATTTGTCTGCAACTCTAACAGCTAAGTCTATTATTACTTTTGTCTAAGGAGTATTAGATACAATCCAATAGGGCTTGATACCATAAGGATCTAGATTTTTGTAGCAGTTCATATTACAAGACTAAATTTAAACAGGCTCAAACTACTAAGGAACAAATTACATCAATACAGATGGGATTTTACTAAGTTCTTATCTCCTTGCCAATAGGGAATTACCAATGTCTGCAGAAAACAGCTGATGACTCCACTACAGACATTCTACTTAGGGGTTTCAAGTTTCTTAAATCTATTCATCTGCTCAGCTGAAGGTGGTCTGAGCTAGTATTAAAATACTCTTCAACAATATAGCAAGAGTCTGGCCACTTGCAAGTGGTCACTGCCCACCTCAGGTTAGGTCTTCTTCATGCTAACAAAGAAAACGTTGATAAGATTAACATGCTTTGCCGACTGAAGTGACTTATCCATATATACATCACAGAAAAAAAATTAGTTGTTTAACCACATACTTGGTGAAGAAGTAAAATAAACTGATATTAACTGATCACTAATGTGAGCATAAAACCCCACTTCACAAATAGTGGGGGTACTCTTGTGGTGGGTTGACCTTGGCTGGACACCAGGTGCCCACCAAGCTGCTCTATCACTCCCCTCCTCAGCTGGACAGAATGGGGAAAAAAGTAAGATGGAAAAAACCTCATGGGTCTAGATAAAGGCAGTTTAATAAAGCAAAAGCACAAGGCCATGTGTGGCAACAAAGGAAAAAAAAACCCCAAAAGATTTATCTCTATTTCCCATCAGCAGGCGATGTGCAGCCACTTCCCAGGAAGCAGGGCTTCGGTATGCGTAGCAGTTGCTCCAGAAGACAAACGCTGTAAATAACTAATGACCCCCCTTAGCTCTTATTGCTGAGCAGATGTGATATGGTATGGAACATCCCTTTGGTCAGCTGGGGTCAGCTGTCCTGGCTGTGTCCCCTCCCACGATCTTGCCCCCCGCAGCCTACTGGTGAGGAGGCAATGTTGGAGAGACAGCCTGTGCTGTGCCAGCACAGCTCATAGTAGCCAGAACACTGGGGTGTTACCAACACCTTGCGAGCTACCAATACGCAGCATAGTGCTATGAGGAAATTAACTCTGTCTCAGCCAGACCCAATAACGCCGTAAAACCCTTTGAGATGGTGACTTAACTAGTTTGCTAAAAAAGATGTACAGACTAACAGCATGTTAAAAAGAATGTCCATCCACTTACAGATACTTTAAAAATTAGTCATCAAAAATGACCTGTTATACATCAACTTTTTGTTTCAGTAAGATAGAAGTAAAATAGACATTCTTACAGAAAGATTTATAAACCTGAACACAAATCTACAACTACCAAGGCGTCATATTTCAAACATTATTATTTTTAGGCATCCAAGAGAACAGCAGATTTCATAAATGTACTGACCTTGATCCCGAGAAGCAAGGTTATTAGGACAAGGGAAAAAAAAGGGAGAATATATGCTGCAACAAGATCACAAAGCAAATCAGAAACACAGCTGTATCGCATCATAATCATGCCTTTGCTTAATCTCCTTTCTCTACCACTCATCTTGGACAATGCTCTTGGATGCGCATTTGAAGAATGAAGGGCATGACAGTTTGGTGACCACTCGTTCTTCAGAGACCATGGAGGCATTCTGTTTGGGTTTTTTAAACTGAACCTTCCCTGGATAATCTCGATGCTTAAAGCATACCCCAAACCAAACCTCCTACTTCCATTCCCTTAGAGTCCCTCTTTTCTTCCATTCATCCAGAACCGCATTCCTTTGCGCTTAACAGGCACGTTGGAAGACACTCTCAATCTCCCTGTATCTCATCCAATGACCTGCACCTCTTGCTAAACGCAACCTTTTCTTCTGACACAAAGAAATACTGGTCAAAATTATTTTTTTTGTGTATCCAAGCTCGCACACACTTCTTCCCACACCAGCCAGCCAGCCATGGCACACTGCCATTCCCTGTGAGCACTACCACCTAAGTCTACCACCTCCTAGAAGCCGCACTAAATTAAGTCTCCAAACATTAGGTTCAGGTGAATGTACAGTTCAATGCACCTAAGCCATGTCTGAAGAGAATCACTAAGTATCTATGTCCCCTCTCTTAGATCTTTGCAGTAGAAGACAAGGGAGATACCAGTAAGGGGCATATATTTTAAAGTATCTATACACATTGCATTCATTTATACACACACACCCCTATAAATCCCTCAGAGACACATGAACACCAGAAGAGAAGTAATTTTTTTCCTTTTTCTATTACCTTATATTCTTCAATCTCTTCCTCATCAGCTTCTCCCTCGTCTGGGTATTTGCGTTTTGCATTTGGTGCGGAAGTATCATAAGCAGCCCTAAAAACATAAAAAAAAAAAATCCTCATATAGAACAGTTTCTCTCTCCAGAGAGAACATTTCCGAAAGCTCTGATAATCTGCCTTGACTACATGTTTCCGTTACAAATTTGAAATTATTTTGAAACGTCACATATGAGTTGTTGTTCCTCTCTCAGTATAATTGAGATCAGCACAACTTCTTAAGGATAGGACTCCTGAACACAGGTTCCCAGCTTCCCCATTTTTCTGTTCTAAAAGGAATAGCTTATTTTAACCTAATCAGTGCACCTACAAAATTAAACCTGCTGACACAAGAAAATTACTGTTACACGTGACAATTAATGAGCACTAGCTACCCTGCCTTAGACATGTCTACTGTTCCATAAGAACTTTTAAACTGAATTGCCCTGTAACTGCTCTTAGCAAAAGCAGAAAGGCCCTAGGACAATGCAGATGGCATACTCTCAATTCGCACCTCGGTTTTGCTCCACAGTAACTTTTTAACGTAGAAAGGAAGAGTCAGCCTTGATTTCCAAACTGCTATTAGAAACAAACGACTAAACCCTACTCACCTTATTCGAGGTTCAAATTTGAATAATTAAAGCATTTTCTTTCACTGAGTTGTATGGCTTTTAAACAAACTGTAAGATTTTATTTTGTTCTTTGGAGGGCAATCCCATCCTATTTCAAAGTCTGGTATTATTATCAACCCCCTCAATTTCTAACAGAAATCACACACCGATACTGACCTACACGTCTCTCTGGTTTCAGCGATCTCCCGCTGCTCATCTTTACTGTTCAGCACGGCGCCGATACTGTCGGCGTTTTCAGCTCCTAACTGAACAACAGGCAAGACGAA